GTCCAGTGGCCTCCTGAAAAAGCTCCTTTGGGACAGTTTGGCCCGGAGAGATTTAAGGAACCGAAAAGAAATAAGCCACTTCATCCAGATCCACGGGGTAGTCCGTGACCAGTGTGGGAGTCTTCTCAAACAGCTCTCCTTTGTAACTCCGCCATTTCCCCGCCGGGATGTAGATGTTCCGTTCCTGTTTTCCCATCTCCAAGACTGGAGCCACCATCAAGGTGTCCCCGATGAGAAACTGGGAATCGATCTTGTGAGCAGACTCGTCCCCGGGAGAGATCCACCAGATGGGCCGTATGATGGGATCCCCCGTGGTGGTGATCTCCCCGGCCAGCTCCAGCAAGAGAGGGGCCACCAAGGACTCGTGAAGCTTGGTGAACTTCAGGGCGATTTCGACGACCTCCTTGTCGTACAGCCAAGGCGGGATGGAGAACTGCATGGACGGCATGAAGGCGGACAACTCCAGCCAACGGATGTAGAGTTCCCGATCCGGGATTTCCAAAGCCCCGTCGGTTTTGTTGGGGAAGAAATTCCCTCCGATCATGTCGGCCGATATAAACGGGTACCCCAACATGCTGATGGTCAGGACGGTGGGGATTAAGGACTTCAGGCCAAGTTCGTAGCCCCACACGGAATCCCGGTCAATGATCCTGAAGAAACACGAGATGTTCTGGGATTGGTAGCCCACCCTGACCTCCGCCAGTTCGTAAAACGGGATGGCCATTTCTGTGTAGCGCCTGGACCAGACACTGGGGTCCGACAAAGGTCGGAAGGTGCTAAACTGTTTGGGGAGGTAGCTGGTCTCCCCAGCATCGAATTTAAAGGAGGAGATGCCGTATTTATTGCGGAGCTGTCTCAGCTGGCTCTGGAACCAATCTCGGGCGGCAGGGTTGGTGAAATCCAAGATGGCGCCGATGCCGTTCCACCACTCCACCATGGCGGGCAGCCGTCCGGTGGGTTCCTTGATGAACAGCTGTTTCTCTATCCCCACCCCAAAATTCGAGGAATTGTAATTGATGAACGGGTGGGTCCAGAGGGTGATCTGAAAACCGTCCTCTCGGAGTTTCTTGAAGGTTCCCGTCATGTTGGGGAACTTGGCCACGTCGAAGTCGAAGTCGCCGTACGCCTGGGTGTAGGTGTCGTCGATCTCGATGTGGCTGCAGTTGAACTTGTACTTCTTGATGTTTTCGGCAAAGCGCAGGAGTTTCTCCTGGTCGATGTCGTTCTTGTACAAGGCCCAGGTGGACCAGATGGGGTACCTGAAGGCGTTCCTCGAAGGTATCTTGGAGGGCTTGTAGAAGTACTTCCGCACCATGTATTTGTGGATGGAGGTGACGTCGGAACCGATGCAGACGCGGTAACTCAGCTCAGGAAAAGGCGGCTGGCCCAACGGAGGCTTGTACGGCGAGTCTTTATACCTGGCTTGGAAGACGAGGGAAGGCTCCGTGGCGTTGAAACCAAGGTGGAAGGGCACCGAATCGTTGATCTTGATGGCCGCAGCTTTGGACGACAACCAGTACCTCTCTAAGATGCCTCCAAAGCTGTTCCTTAAAGAATTGACGTCGCTGGTCACAAAAGGCATGGGCTCCTGGTATCCGGGCAGCTTGATCGGCCAATGCTGGACACTCATCTCACAGCCTCCGTACCAGAAGGCATCACCCCAGAACATTTTATGTTCCACCACCGTGTCTGCCACGAACTCTTCCCAGCGCACGCGGTAGCAGATCACGGTGTCCTTGGGGTTGACGATCTTGATGAAGAAGTTGACTCTCCCTTTGTCGGTCTGGGTGCAGGTTAAATTGGCCCCCTCCCTGGAGCAGGACTCCAGGTCCAGAAGCCCCGACTGGAAGGCCACCTGGAAGACCAGCTCGCCGTTCTGGTTCTTGATGGTGAATCCGTCTTGCCGCAAATCCATCTCCGCCGTCTTAAGCCTCTCCGCCTTCCGAAGGGACGCCACGTAGTAGCACCACGCCACGATGGCGGCAATGAACAAAACGAGGCCCACCACGATGGCGCCAATCATGGGCCTCAGCTCTTTGGATGGCTTCTGCTTCACCGGAGTGAAGTTCTCCGGCAGGAAAGTATACATTGTCCCCTCTTATGTCGCGTCGCTACCCAAGGCAGGGCCCGTCTCTGAGTTCGGGTGCAAAGCTGGAAGCATAGAGGCTGGGTGATGGTCTGCCTCCACCTGCTTCTTCAGGAGTGGCCGGCGAGCTCATTCGCCTCTTTCGACCGAGGCATTTGTCCTATCTGGAGAAGGACGCTGAACAGATCGCCATCATCTGCCAAAAAGAAGGAAAGACAAAAGGCTGAAGACAGTTGAAGAAAGGCCAACTCTGTCTCTTTTTTTTTTTTGACGAAAAACCCTTTCTTGAAAATTTAAAACATTACGATACAAATATACCTTTAAAAATAAGTTTTGCATAAGTTGCAATCCGTTTTGACAGTACTAACATACCCATTTAGCAATAGCAATAGCAGTTAGACTTATATATACCGCTTCATAGGGCTTTCAGCCCTCTCTAAGTGGTTTACAGAG